CCCGGCTTATGCAAATGAAGCCCAGGAAATTCAAATCCCGGGCTTCATTTGCAAGTGCGGTATGCCTACATTACCCCGCTAGTTTGAACTAGGAGGGTAGTGTAGACATACCCTTAGCTACTGCCAGTCCCGTTGCCACAGGATGTTCTCTGGGTTCCCAGCTGGGGCTACCCAGTCACCACTGGCCCTGCTGCTGCTGGGGGTTCCCCTGCCTGGGCCGCCTAGCCACCCCATGCCACTGTTGGGTCTGTCCCGCTGGTGCTAGGGAGTTCAGCCACCCACCTCAGTCAGCCCTGCTTCAGCTGGGGGTTTCTGGCTGGGGCTACCCAGCAGCAGGTAGCCTAACTGCAGCTGGGGGTTCCCCAGCTGAGGTCAGGTCCTCCTGGCCACATGGCCCTGCTAATGCTGGGAGTTCCCTGGCTCCAGTGGGAGCTTCCCAGCCACTGCCTGGTCTTGTTAATGCCGGGGGTTCCAGGCCAGGGCAGAGGCTCCCCAGATACTGCTTGGCTCAGATGGGGCTCTCCAGCCCCTGCATTGCTCTGGGGTTCTTTGGTCTAGCAACATCACTGCCCCTGCCAAACCATGAATGTTGCCAAACGAGCGAGACCCGGATTTGGGAGGTTCAACCTGTAATATTTGATAATTTAATACACCCAAAGCTGAAAACAATTATGAGCCAAACCAGGTGCAAAGAAGAATGTAATCAGAAAAATCTAAATTATAATTAGGAATCATTCAAGAACATCTTTTTAGATGCACCAAACCCCACAATCCTACAAGAGGAAGAAGACTGTGCCGGTTAAAACAAAGACCTGCTTTAGTGGCAAAGTGAACACATCTATAAAAAATAAAATAAAGGGGAAGTTGTTGCCCCAGACACCCCTTCCCAAAATCCCATGCTATAAAATTCTAACCAGAAACTAGGAACAAGGCATTAATGGGCCTGTTACCTCCTTTAAAGGGTCAGCCAACCCTTTCACGAGTACAGTCTTGCTCAGGGAAGATGGTAAACAACTTTATTGGGAGATTTTACGCTACTAAAAATCCAGTGGCACTTAGGAACGGCCATACTCAGTCGCACATTTCTAGCCCTAACAGAGGCTAGGGCCATGATCACCAACCAGTCGATCACGAGGCATTCTGGGCCCCCCATTTCTCTCCAACCCCAAGAAGCCCCACAACCTACCTCGAGCAACAGTGGAGGTAGTGGCAGCTTCCCACAGCTGCACATTACTTCCGGGGGTTGAGGAAATGCGCTAGCTGTTTCCTTGCTCCAGTTTCCTGGCATTCTGGGAACTTACCAGGTAGGTCCCCAGAGGCTTTCCCTTCTCTGCGGGAGTGGGGAGTTGGGCCTGGAAGGAGCGCGTGCGCGGGCTTCCCTGCTGTGTGTGTGGGGGGGGTCGGCCCCTAGAGGTCGCATGCACGGGCTTCCCTGCTCTGCGGGAGGAGGGAGTCAGGCCCGGCGGA